TCCCTTGCAAAAAGGAAAAGAAACGGGTATCAAGACACATTAAGGTTCGTTCGATCCCAGAGACGGAATCCGATAAAAAGACACGATTTCGGTTGAAGTTGACGGTATTTGAGAAGAATTTCGAGATCCCAACTGGTCCCGTCGTTGGGTAACGCCAGTTGAGATTCTCTCACGATTAGCCTCTCAAGCCAGTGTCAGACTTTGCGAATCGAACGAATCGCAATGTGCCAGCTGTTCGAATGATGCGCCAGCCGCTCGAACGGTGTGCCAGCTGTTCGAACGGTGTGTCAGTTGCTCGAATGATGCGCCAGCGTTCCGCACGATGCGTACCATTAGAACCGTTGACGCATCGCTCGAAGCACTGGCGCAGGTCTGGCACCGGCCCTACACGACAACCGTTTTGCGCGCGCGATATCGTGCGCACCAGGTGAAAGTCACTAAAGTCTGAGATAACGTCAGCCTTTACTGACTTCCGTCGTAAGCGTCTATTCCTCACTGGGAGGCAGACTCCTTCTTGTTTTTCCTCTGCAGCAGTAATAAGGGTGTGATGTGCTGGACAAAAGCGACTTTTCCGTTTTTCGCAGCGCGGAACATTCACTGCGGCAGGAAGCTGAGGTCATAACTGATCAATAGAAGACCTAGTTCTCGCAGCGGCGAAAAAGAGTTTTGCGGTGCTGCTGGATTAGTTCTTACACACTACATCTATTTTTTTCGCAAGGTTGCGTGTGTTCTCAATAAGGCGCTGTAATTTCTTGGGTGATTGTCTCTTGGGTTACCAAATGAAAAGGTTATCCAAATCATATGGTGAGTTTTGTGATTCGTGACACAATGGGTTCTAGGTTTGTTATTTACTCATGGCGATCAAAAGAAGTGGTTTTATATTTTTACAGGTTTCAATGTGATGAGTGGATCAGCTTGACTCATAAGGATGCGCTGTTGGAAAACGAGTCAACTAGACGCCGTCTCAACCTTCAACTTCAGTGCGGACTATTGTAGGTCTCATTTTATTTAAGTCTTTTGAATTCTGCGTATTACTTCTTTTTTCGTGCTTTGGTCTGCTACATCAAGTGTGCATCCTAAAATGGGCTACAATTGGTCGTGCTGACAATCGGCGTCTTTATCACAGGCATTGGTTTGAAAGCGGCGTAAATATTTTGAGAAAAAAAAAACTACCTCATTAGGCTGCATTCATAGTTCGCGACTCCGGAGATTAGGATAGTAGTAGATTGGGATAGTGCTCTG